CCACTGCACTCCAGTCTGGGTGACAGAGTGAGACTCCAACTCAAAAAAAAAAAAAAGAATGAGGCAGGAAGAGAGTGAGGCAATGTTAGGGAGTTGGGAACGTGGCATCTTCATCAACAGGCAGTGTCCATAGCCTTTTCTATGCCATCTTTACCCTTGGGTCACCAAAGGTTTGGACACGCTGTGATTCTCCAGACTACAACTACTATGACCAAAATACTCCATGAAATATTTCGTGATACAACAGGAGAGAGAAGAGAAATTTCAGATAAATCTGTGACCTCCTGAACAGTGTGCAAGGGCAAAGTGTGCTACTACTATGCTATTATTTGGTATTCCATTGCTAAGAATTTTGTGCTTGGGACAGGCTATAAGTGATGAAAAATTCCAAAACAAACATAGGCGAACTTTTTTTGTTTTGTTTTGTTTTGTTTTATTTTATTTTATTTTTTTTTGAGTTGGAGTCTCACTCTGTCACCCAGACTGGAGTGAAGTGGCCGCTCCTGGCCATTGCAGCCTCGCCTGCTGGGCTCTGGCGATCCTTCCGCCTCAGCCTTCCAAGTAGCCGGAATTACAGGCACGTGCTACCACGCCCGGCTGATTTTTTGATTTATTGTAGAGATGAGGTCTCGCTGCCCAGGCGGGTCTCGAACCCGTGTGCTCAGGCAATCCACTCACCTCGGCCTCCCAAGGCGCGAGATTATAGGCTGAGCCACCGAGCCCAGCCTAGGCAAACTTTTAAATACAGCTGTTAACTTTGTATAACTATGTCTTATATGTCACAAATAATCAGTCTACATTTCCTAGACTTAGGCCTGATTTCTTTTTTTTTTTTGAGTTGGAGACTTCTCTGTCTCCCAGGCTGGAGTGCAGTGGCACACTCACAGCCACTACAGCCTCTACCTACTGGGCTCAGGTGATCCTTCTGCCTCAGTCTTCCAAGTAACTGAAACTACAGGCAAGCACCACCATGCCTGGATAATTTTTGATTTATTGTAGAGATGAGAGCTCACCAATTTGCCTGGGCTGGTCTTGAACCGTGGGTTCAGACAATCCTCTTATCTCGGGCTTCCCAAGTGCTGGGATTATAGGTGTGAGTCACTGCTTCCAGCCTAGACCTGATTTCTTAACATTAGAGGATCACATATTCACATGGTAGAAAAGGACTTCAACTAAGTGTTCCTGGTGTTATACTGCTTTTTCAAAAGGATAATCATTTAAAAAATTATCTCAGCTGGGCTTGGTGGCTCAGCCTGTAATCAGCACTTTGAGAGGCCGAGGTGAGTGGATTGTTTGAGCCCGTGGGTTTGAGACCAGCCCGGGCAACTTGGCCAGACCTTGTCTCTACAATAAGTAAAAATTAGCCGGGCGTGGTAGTATGCACCTGTAGTTCTGGCTACTTGGAAGGCTGAGGTGGAAGGATCACTGGAACCCAGGGAGGCGATGCTGTGGTGGCCGTGAGTGTGCAACTGCACTCCAGCCTGGGCAACGGAGTGAGACTCCAATGCAAAAAAATTAAATTAAATTAAAATGATCTCAGCACTTAAGAAAGCAACTGCAGCCAGGCTCGGTGGCTCAGCCTGTAATCCCGCGCCTTTGGGAGGCTGAGGTGAGTGGATTGCCTGAGCCCGCGGGTTCGAGACCCGCCTGGGCAGCGAGACCTCATCTCTAC